ACTGCATTCTGCTGGTGGGAAAAACACGAAAAGCAAGAAAGGAGAGACTGTTGGCATTGCAGATTTGGCTCTAATTGCGAATGTTTGTTTGACTCTTCCAGACCAAAGCAGGTAAAAACTGAGGTTCCCTTTTTAATTGTGTCATCGCTTGTCACGGCTTTATATTGGCACCTCTTCAGTTATATTGATTATTTGTATGCTTTTTTTTCGTCCTCTCAGTGCTTCTTGGCTTTGCTTGACTCCGCTGCTTTAGTCTATTTGATGGCGCGTGAGTCACCCGTCAATTATTGTTTCTGTCATTGCACTCCTGTTGCTCTCTTCTGTGCTTTCTGGCCATTGTATGTATATGTGTTTTCAATTCAGCAGCCAGCCAGCCAATGGGATCAAGGTTTGAATGATGTTCTTCCTTCCGTACTGCGCTGATCCAGCGAACACTTTCGAATATCAACATACTCAAAAATTGCGGGGTCATGATCAATAGATTTTGTAGGCAACCACCAAAACCTGCGATGATCAACCTGGCAAAGAGCGGATGTGAACTTCAGGAATTTGGCCCCGCTCAAAAGCAATAACCATGTCGCCGCAGTTTTGGGATATGTTCAGCTAGGCTATGCTGAAAGTGTGCCTGGGGCCTGACAAAGCGATAAGCCGCCTTCAAGAGCGACAACCTCGTTGAAGGATGTCCTTTTCGTTGGCAAGATGCTTCGGCAGACGCTCATAATAAGATGTACCACAGAATCATATACATACATAGTGACAATACTTACATTTCAATGCTGGTACAATCTTCATCATGAACAAATCATATCCGATCCAGGAGCTACTTCGCCTACAGCAGCAGGCCTGTCTAGGGAATCCCAGCTTCTCCAGAAATGAAGTCATGAGTTGAAGGACAAAAACAACTTGTTAAGATCTGTCGTCTAATGGGCTGTCCAACTCTTGTCGTCGCCAGGTGCAAACCAGACTGCTGCAGGAACAGCAGCGACAGCAGCTCTTCCAGCAGCAGCTTGACACCATTCAGCGGCCACCGGCGCAACTTGGCAGCTGAAAGGATCGCGATCTGCATAGATCATTTCGGTTTGCTTGGTTCCATCCGTCCAAGACTTGGAACTCAGGCAGTCTTTCCCATCACAACTCTCGCAGGGACAGCAGGGATCCTCGAATGGTCTTGGAAGAATCCTGGGTCAAGCTTCTCCAATAAGATCTTATTTTCGATCACAGTCCCTATCCAACCATAGAGAATTTTATTTGTCAATGAAAGGGAACAAGGACCTGGAGTTGCTTTTCAAGCTTGCGGGTGGCTACTAGCGAGTAAGTCTTGGCCTCACAGGGTTGCATCGCGAGACGTTTGCCGTTTGTTGGATGGCTTCCCAGTTTAGTCCGGTACCTGGCGCCTTTGGTTGTTATGTTGCTAAGAGGAGCGCGAGATCACCTGACCAGGCAGATGCCATGATCTGAACCTGACAAAGAACGTGTGATCTTGTTTTCTGCCAGACCATGGAGAGATTCGTGTTTGGCTGCCTTTCCGCTGCCTTTTCGCGGTCAGGTTTCAGCCACCCTTGGTGCAGGACAGCAATCGGTTGCCACAGTACTGGAACCAAGCGTCTGGCCTCGACCTCAAGGTTACAACCTTGCAAGTGAAGTCAAATTAGTCAGCCCATCGAGAAAGTCAAATAGTACTACTCAAAACTCAAAAGATACCAGGCGAATTGCATACAGTAGACACAATTCAAGCATCTTCAACTTCAACTCGCTTTGGGATGCTCAGCAAGGTGACATGGATCCTCAGATTGCGGCAAGGACAGACACCTCAATGGTCCTATGTATACATACTGGATTGTCGCCACAGATGAATCATTAAATGTTTCTTTTTGCAGTATTTTGGACGTTCTGCCTTGCTGAATTACTTAATTGCCAAATTCTTTCCCCTGTGAGGAGCCTATCGGCACAGGATCAGTGCGGCCCTCAGTCAGGAGCCTTTTTGATATCCTGCGGCGAGATCCGATTGGGTATATGAAGTTGCTTGTCAAAGATTCATTGAATCTTCAAGGCCCTGATTAGGCAAGTGGTGACTACTCAACTACCATTCATTTATCATAGGACTTGATTGCGACGATCTTTTTTTGCTTGCGTTTGCTGCGCTGAAGCTCGGGGACCCTTTTCAGCTTTGACTGGGTTATTTGGAAACCTCTGTGACAAAGTTTGATTGTGTTTCAACGACAAGGCAACCAAAGCCTGGAGAAGAGATCGACCAGGCAGCCGGGTGCTGGATCACAGGTTGCCGTACTTGAGACAAGCCAATTTCGGCAATTTTCTGCAATCAACACATTTGTTGAAGGAGACTTGCTAATTTGGGTTTGCCCACACACAAAGTATTGATGCCTCAAGACTCCAAGTGGCAAGCTGATGCAACGGAGCTTTCTCCGCGGCAAAATGCTGTGCATGTGGGTAGGGCCACTCTGCATCCCTCTGCAACCTTCATCTCCATCAATGTTGGCAGGCAGCTGCGGGTGACGACAGCAGGGCTCCTAATAATCTGTTTTCCAATGACACTTCTGATGTCCGCTTAAACGAGCTCCCAGAACAACAAACTACTTTGCTACACTACTTTAGCTAGCCTACTTTCAATTGATAATTGAAAAGACTTCACACTTCTGCTATGCGCAACACCCAGCAGGTCTTAGAAGTAAGTCAATGAGAATGCTGTCTTCGGACATGCACAGTGCAATTGGAGGACCTTTGCCTTGATTAGGACTAGTAGGAACCTGAGTCAACCAGAACTTCCTGGCTTTTTTGAGCTCAGGTTTGCACTTGGACCTCTTGCTTCGAGTGCAGCCTGACATGTTTGCATGTCCTGACATGTTTGCTCGAGTGTCCTTGTGTTTGCACCTGTCACAGAATTGGTTCTTGGCTTTTAGATGTGAAAGACTACAAGAGGACCATTCCGCAAATCCGAAAGCAGATTCCTTTGCTAGTAATTACAAGTGCATCGCTAGTAGTAACAAGTGCCTTACTGGTAGTAACAAGAAGCTAGTAATTACAATTCTAATTAAATTCTTATTGTTACAACGCTAGGCCACGGCCTCGGCATCGGGTCGGACTCGTCCGGATGCGGAGACTTGGCTCATCGTGGCGTGGCGGTCGCGGCGGCCTGGCCGTAGCTCTGCGGTGTTTATCGACCGGTGGCACTCACTGACACCATGAACTGACTCTGTCGGTGAGTGCTGGTTCACAGATCTTTAGATCAGAAGGAAAGGAGAGAACAATGAAAGATCTATAGTGTCCAGAGTCTCCTAGAATAGGGGAAAGATGGAAAAGCATCAATTCCGTTTATCGTCAACAGACTACAGTGCTACAGCCCTTGGCTCAGGAGACCTCCGCAGTTTCAACCCGTGCTGCGAGGTGCTGGGCCCAGATTTGGCGGAATCGTTACCCCAAGATACCTTGTTGGCCTGTTGATTTGCTCAATTCTACAAGAAACACTCTACGACTCTACAGTACTCTTTTCATGAGAGAAGTTTTCTATTTTTTCATCCAAAAAGGAATAGGTGTTTTTTCAAGCTTCTGCACTGCTAGCAATAAGGAGGTCTTTAGGTCCCAGAGAGTGCGACATCCTTGAACATATATATATATATAGAGAGAGAGATGGGTGTCAGTGAGGCTGGCCCGGCCACGGAAATCTGCTAGTGCGTTCGTGCAGCTTGGCTCAACTTGGCTTGCGGATGATTGATTGTATTTACGTGGAACGCTGATGCTAAGTCCTGCTTGGCAAGCAGGATGGCTTTGTCTGCCACGAGATATTGCTGTGGTGAGCAGCATAGAATAGATCACTAACATTTGTGTGGCAGCATGGAGTCTAACGTTGGAAAGCTGGTGTATTCTGTGGCGCTTTTCTGGTTGTTTATGAGTGGAAGACAGGAACAGACAATATGATCGACACATGGTCTTGCAGAATTTTCTGGGTTGATCACAGCGACGAGCCACCAATAAGCAGGACATCTCCTGCAACGCTGCGGAATGCGGACGAAGACAGCACGCCCAATTCCCAGACACTGCCTTCCCTTTGTACCTTCAACACAGGTCAGAATCGCAGTGGTCTGAGAGAGTTGCGACCTTTGGCAAATAGGAACCAAATGAATAGTGCGAGCGCTTCTTCGAGGAAGCTCCCCCCGCCCTCAGGCGGGGAAAGCTTCCTTGAAGAAGCGTGAGCTATTCTGCGTCCAGTTACTAGTAGCTTACCTCCTTAATTCGTAGGCGTCTACTTAATTAAGGAGGTAGGGCCACGGCCAAAAGAAAGTAAAACAGTAAACAAAAGGCTTATGTATGCCATTTGATACTTGCAGATGAATTCGACAGCCCAAGGATCCACCCGTCGAAGTTTGATGTGGGCTCTCTCTACCAGGCACAGCCAGCATTCTTGGGCCGTGCTAAGTGAACGACGATAAGCCATTCGATTGTTTGGTGAGAGAGCTGATGAAACCCCAGAACATCGTTGTCACCATCTCTTCCTGAAAAGGTCGTAACAAATTCATACAGTATATGTATATGTATATGTATTGTGACTCTAGATCGAACCAACAGGAAGTCACTCGGTGAATCGACAGCGCAGTCCTTTGAGCCACTTTCAAGTCCAGGGGCACTTGGAGACCTTGCAGAATGACCGGAACTGCATGCTGGTGCGACCTGAGTGACACGATATGACACATGTTCCCACGACCTTGCGTTTCGCAGCAGCAGTGGTGGTGGTGGGCTTCTGTATCGTCTGTATCGTCGAAGTGGAAAACACTGTAGCCATTTTGCTGCTTTGACCATTTTGCTGCTAGCTTCTTGTTACTACTAGTAAGGCACTTGTTACTAGTAGCGATGCACTTGTTTCTACTGGCAAACATTGTTACTACTTGTGCTTTTTCATGAACATGCAGAAGAGCAAGCCAGATGTTTCTCCATGACAGAACCATATATGGGTTGTGCTAAGTAAGCAGCTCTCCCGAACCAGTGCCATGGGATTTCCCCTCTTTCTGAGCTTGTTGGCCTCACTGGGCACAGGTTGGGCGCAGGTGTGCGATCACAATGAGACATGTGATGCTGTCGACACAAGCTTGATCCAGACGGACAGCACAGAAAGGAAACAAGGCCGCAAACATGGTAGACATGGGCGGTCGCTGCAACCATCCTTGCTTCAATCCGACCAGGCCATATTGAATGAAGCCCAAGTGCAAGCACTGAAACGGCCTGACCGCTGGCATGGCGTGAACTATGGAAATCGCTTTGTCCCGGAAGATTGGATTGAGTATCCCTACAACTTCTTCGAAAACGTGACGAAGTTCGGTCCAAGAGTGGCCCTTTGGGACCTGCCACCTGGACAGGCCTCCAAGGAGCGAATGCTCACGTGGCTGGAGACTAGCATTCAGGAGTCGCACTTCGCAGAGATGCAACGGATGGCGGTGGAACTGATGCGACTTCCGGTGGGCTATTGGAACTTCGTGACCTACCCGGAGAACACGGGGCCAGTGGTGCCGCAGCATTTCGAGGAGCGTGTGAAGAATCTTCACAAGATCGCAACGCCTGAGGAGTATCGTCCCTACTTGGACAAGGTCTTCAATTGGGCCAGCAAATATGGGATCAAGGTGCTCTTGGATTTCCATGCTTTGCCTGGCTCTCAGAATGGTGAGATACACAGTGGGGTCTGTATGAGAGATTCTGCTGGTAAAAACACAGATTTCTTTCAGAACGATGCGAATGCTGCGAAAGCACTGGAGACCATCAGAGAGATGGCACGCTACACCAAAGACAAAGATGCACTTTGGGGAATCCAGGTCATCAACGAGCCACATCTCTTCAACTCTGAGGAGCACTCATTCTTGAAGAAGTTCTTCGAGGACGCCTGCAAGTTGATCCGAGACGAAGGTATTGCCATGGAAAAGCCTTGCGTGGTCTTCTCCTGGACATACGACATGGACAAATGGATCGACTGGAACAATCCGATGTTTCCCAAGGAGACCTACGGCCGTGTGATCTTCGACACTCACTTGTATCACTTCCCAGATGGCACGTGGACCTTGGACCAAGCGAAGGCCTCGTACAAGGATGACTTGATTTCCACACGCCGCTTCTTCCTCGATGCTCAGATCGATCTCATTGTGGGAGAGTATACGCTGGCAGGGACAGGCCTGGGAGAGGCTTAAAAAGCAGACACGGATTCTTGGTTGATGCATGTTGATGCATTTTTGTTTTACTCTTGACCTTTTCCTGTTTGTTTCATTTTATCGCCCACCCGACAGGCCTTGGACCGTCCGATCAGAAGGCTTTTGCTCAGTGGCTGGTGGATGAGTTTGATTTCACTGCAGTGGGCTCCATTTTTTGGACCTTTGATTGCCAGCATGATGATTGGAGCCTGGTGAAAACCGACCACAACGTGAACTGGGCTCAGATTTGGAGATCGGATCGTGACGACTGTATCTCCTACAATCAAATCAACCTCCAAAGTGCCGACTGGCGCTTTTTGTCCAAGGGAGGTGGTGAAAACCCCAAAATGAAGCCCTCAGCCCAGAATTGGGAAGTATGGCACACCTGTTATCAAAAGGAACCAGCCCAAACTCCTGGAGCAGTGAAGATGTCCTTCCGCAGCATTGCAGATGGAGGATACCTAAGTGTGACTTCGGATCGGCAGGTAAGGGGTTCCTGGATCCGGCAGGGCTGGGAGACCTTCGAGGCTCTTTGTGATGCCCAGGCGAGGTGTAAACTGAAGTCTTTCCATGGCACTTGGCTGAGCCCTTCGGCGAACTACGAAGACCCCGACGTTTGGGCAGTGGCTGCTGACCCACCAAATGCCCCGCAGTGGCATGCCATTTCGCACTAGGAACTACAAGCTCCGGTGCCAAGCTGCTTTTAGAATTGTCGACCAGTGCCAGAGGCACATTTCTTTTTCGGGTGCAGGCAACCTGACCCACACAAGTTTCACACGGCGGACCCCAGCAATATCAGAGATGTTCTTTTCTGAAAATGAAATGGCCAACGCCGATTCCTTTCACTGTTGTTTAGCGATGGCCAAGGGGCTTTGGCAGAGGGTATGTTTGTGTGCACAGGCCGCAAGTCTACCAATTGCCTAACACTTTTGCTTCCTGGTGGGCTGACTCAACTTGTGCAGGTACATTTTGCAAATGGCAGAATACTCTTCTCCAACGCTACTGTGCTGCAGAGCATTTCTCATCTCTTCTATGGCAGAGTATTTCTCATGTTTAGGATTTGATCCTTGTGGATCCGAGGCTTGCTGCGATCGGCTTTTTAGCACCCTCACTCCTTTGCGACACAGGGTGCGCCACAAAAAATGCTTGAAAGGAAAGAAAGCGACAGGCCTAATGTTAAACGATTAGTGGGTAGGAATTGAAGAAGTGGGTAGGAATTCGTTTCCTTTTGCTACGACAGCCAGGAAGTGACCGAGATCATAGCTGAAGAAGATCGTGGGAGACTCAATCACCAAATGCTGAGAAAGCCGACATGAAGAGGGCAGAATCTGACAACTATCGACTTCAAGCGTTCACCAGTCCCATGTTCTCAAGACAATCAGGCGTCAATTTCTCCTCAAGAATAATGTATCTCAGCATTGGGAAGTTTACTGTCGGGGCCTCAGCTTTGGTTTCTGCTTTCCAATCTTTCTACTAATTCTTGGCGTTTGGGCGGCTGCCTCTGACACCCACACGAAGATGAGCAGCATGGGAAAGTCAGAGGCACATATTGAAAGAGTCACCCTAATGACTGAGATAGCAGTAGCAGGTCGATTTGCGGTACTTTCAGGTCGCAATCTACGCGTAGAAATAGCTTTCATGGCACCCTTTGATGTTTTGTTAGCCAGTCAAAGTGATTGTGATTCCCCACCCAGTGCACAGATACAAAGCTCACCTCTATTGAATTTATGGCCAAGTTGCGAAACAGTTGCAAAACAAAACAGCAATCCTGATCCTAACAGTATCCAACAGACTGTAAGTAGCATCCAATCTACAGTACGCGTCCTAGAGAAGGCCGCCAGTGGTGGCACGTGATTTCCGCCTCTCACAGACGCTTTTCATCCCTGACCAGGTCATGGAGAGATCCACCTTTAATATCATAACCGCTGGACACTGAGTGAAAGAGCGGCGCTGGACAGCTTTCCTTTGATGTGTTTTTTCCCAATGGGAGACTTCGCAGCACCTTGAAGCTGTTGCCACTGTTTTGATGCCAGAACTGCTTTGTTGCCACGGTTTTGGAGGTCTTTTTTTCTCGGTCTCTTTGGTGCTTTGGCCCAGAAGGGCTGGGCTACTGGGATGATGTTCCAAGGCCAAAGGAGTGGTTCCTGCCAACATTTTCGGTGAACACCTCATGGGAAGCGTGCCACGGCCTCTGGGAAGTGCTGGAACAAATCCTCATTGGACCAATTGAATATTTATGTATAATATATAAATCAATAAATCAAGCATTCACAAAGGTGCACTTACTTTGCATTCCTTTTTTGAATTGCCTGGATGATTCTGACCGAAGTGGCTTGATTGTTGGACCATCGGAATTCTTTGTCAGGTGCGCTGGACACTTTCATGAACTTTCCCTATCCATTTTTCAGTGTCAGCTGCCATGATTCTGAGGTGGTGGATGGATTGTGAACTTGTCGAGGAGGAGATCAGCCCAGCATCATCACTTGACACATGGCACACTACCGTAGACTGTAGATGTTTGATTCTAATGGGTTGACAGAAGGCTCAGTGTGACCAGCTGGGCGAGCTACTGTATTGATCCGACACTCCTCGACCGTCCTCGGACACCGTCGTCCGGCAGGAGGCCTAACTCCTCGTCCAGCATCCGATTCAGGACACCGATGGGTTAGAGGGATCTCTTATGGGTCACAAGACTGACATCTACCACGAGTTGACCGCTGAAGAAACCACCGTCGTTCTTGGACTCGACTCTGCAAGCATTTGGTTCCTCCGTTGAAAAGCAAGTACCTGGTGTTCCAAAGAATCTTGGAAAGAGATGCCTTGGAAGAATTTGTCGTTTGCTTGGCTGTTTGGTTTTGCTGGAGGATGGCTGAGTGGTTTCATTGTGGCCGAAGGGCACAGCTCCATGCGAAGCATGCATGGTATGGAGAAGCTGAGAAACACCGGCAACTGGTGTCAAAATTTTTGAACTTCGCCTACTGTACACCTACTAGTATTGTGTTCAAATATAATGTGCACGCGTCATGACAAAGTGAGTGCCTTTGCTGGACGGATTGGTGTTTATTCCTGATGCAAAGACTGACAAGGTGGAGGGTTGCTGTTTTTCCGTCCATGGTGTTTCCAGCCCTCAAGCTGCTGCCTCAAGCTGTTCCCAATCGATGAAGTCCCCGTGTTGAGACAGTCTCTCGGTGTAGCATCGCAAGAGGGCCTGATCTTAGAATCTGCAGAATGTTTGCAGAGAAAGCGTGACCCCCTCATTTGCCCTAGCCGCGCGGCCAGCATTGAGGAGGAAAACAACGTGTTTTTGTATGGGTGAATTATGTGTGAGTTGTTTGCTGGGCTGATTGTGGGGAACTTGGGTCAACTGACACAGCTGACTGCGCTTTCAGATGAAGCGGAAGGATGTGGAAAGATGTTGCCATGTTCATCCATGTTCATAATTTGTTTGAGATCTTGTCGCTTTGAAGGCGCCGCGGTGCAGCCTCTTCTTAGCTCCAAGCTCCACCAGGAAGCCTTGCAGATGGGGGGTTTGGCAATGCTTCGTGCATGTGACTCTGGAGCGTTGAGAGATAGCAAGGGCTCAAATCTGAGACAGTGCCAAACGTTGAAGGTCGCTAGGGACCCCAAGCTTCCTTGACAAACTCTAAGCCACAGGCATTCTGTGTGGACCTAAAGTCCAAAGATCATGGACGATCCAACATTTAGGAGCAAGGGACGCTACTAGGGGCTCCTGGCCTTACTACTAGGAACAAGGACGCTACTAGGAACACCTGATGCTATCAGGCAAACATACTCGTGTTTTTGCTTTGTATCCTTTTGCGAAGGTCTTCCTGGGTGTCCCTATTCCCAGTTCAAAGGCCATGAGCAGTGCCATCGCTGATTTATCCTGTGCCGTTGTGGCTCAGTTGGCGAGCTATGAAGATTAGAGGTATTGTTCATCAGACCAACATTTTGAGCACCATAAGTTACCATAAGGTTCTTAGTTAGACATGGCATGGTACATTACCAACCCTATTTCCAAATGTTTTTTGCTCCAAAGCAGTTGTTTGGCATATCATGCTGATTTCTTGTCGGAGTCTCAGTGTGTAAAGTACTTTCCTGCTGACTTGCCTACAGAGAAACATGCATGGGTGGTACAGATGTACATTCGCCCCCTCTGAAGGTTTGTTTGCACGTGAGCCGAATTGAACTGCTTTCACACCTTGCCAAGGGCTGCGTCCTGGCCATGCGGAATATTGCACTCTTAGAGTGGGGTCAGGAGCCCTTGGGTCTTCTGCGGTCATTGAGGACGCTTAGGTCGGTTATAGGTATTCGAAAGCGAAAATATGCCCTGCCGTGCTTGGATTCTTTGTAGAGTCTTTGGAATTCTGCTTGTCAAGTGGCAATCAGATTTGCTGTTCATCAAAGCTTGGCAAGACCTTCAGGTCATGCTGCAGGTCTTTAGGATCCCTTTAGATATTGAGGTAGCTTAAGATCACCCTATCCTTTGAAGAAGACTCTGAGACCCCAAGAAGGTCAAGAGCCAAAGGAACGGATGTGAAAGAGACAGCTAGGACCAAGGGGAGGAGCAACAAGAAGCTTTCAGAAAGCTGTTCCTTGGGTGATTGGACATGCTGTTGTCGTGTGGAGGTCCAGCCTCGCTCTTCTACATTCAGCCACGAGAGCTGATCAAGGTGGGGCCTCGATGTGGAAGCAGAGTAAGAAGTTGGTTTACACCGCTGCAAAGAAGTCTTCGCGTTTTCTTTAAGAACCTAACCAGAAGCTACCAACTGGGGGCTCCTGGCCTTACTACTAGGAGCAAGGACGCTACTAGGGGCTCCTGACCAGACTACTAGTAACAAGAAGCTACTAGTATGCCATCCCCGCATCTTTGTTCATCTTTGTCCGGGGCCCTTACTTTTACTTTCTATTCTGCATTCTGTCCGCCTACGCCTTCTCCTCCTCCCGCCTCCTCCTCACCAACTCAACTCACATCATCTCGACTCACTTGCACTCACTCACTGACCCACTCACCTGGCTTTCAGTCAGAGGGGGGCGAAGGAGAACTCTTCACACGGGCCCCTCACTCTGATTATATATGTTGATTGCACCGTGACAAGTGCTTTGATGTGCTTTTGTTTATTCCTTCAAGCAGCAAATGGTTTGTGCAAGAGGTTCTGTAGCGCCTTTTGCAACCCAGTCTTTCTGATCAGAGCTTCCGTGCGCTTCTGAGCAGGATCCTGTGTTGAGCTTTTCTATAGAAGCCAAAGGTTCGGTTCTCGCTCACTCGCTCACCCACACACTCCACTCCACTCCACTCCACTCCACTCCACTCCACTCCACTCCA